CCTTTGGGTCTCGTTTTTTTTTACCCCCCATTCCTTGTCCGCTTATTTTACGTTTTTTGTTGTTGCGATTTCATCTCTTTCCTTTCCCATTATTTTTATGTTTCCGTACATATTTAATCCTTGGCTCTACTCCCCTTGCCGTGGTGGTGTGCCACAGGTCAAACGCCGCTGGCGGTGTAGGCCAATCAGTTTCAAAGTCATTGCACATATTACCAGAGCACTTTGTTTGCATATTTTTCCACGAGCGCTGTGCGTGGTTAGCGCAGACTGGTCCCTTACAGAAAGGTATCTAAGTGGTATTCGAACGTCTTAACACAACTGCTGTTTTATTGCCAGATGGGGTAAACTCTCTTCTTATTTTCATCAGTGTTTAACACTGGCGAAAAAGGTCCCGTAGACCACGGGTTCCCAAACCGCCGGGCCGTGGACCGGTGACCGGTCCGTGGTCTGTTAAGTACCGGGCCGGAGAGCGGTGAGTCCGCACGTGGGCCGCGCCCCATTATTTTATTATTTACCACTTCCGTCCGCGCCTCTTTCACGCACTGCGCTCTCGTCTCAGTCACAGTGTTGGTAAGCCCACAAGCTCTAACCCCTAGTAGCCAAAATGAGTAAAAAACAAACGTCGCTGGAGAGCTTCTTTGAAAAGGGGGAAAGACCCAATGATGAACCCCCCCTCCACCCCCGATCCGTGAAAAAATTGTCTTCCACGAAACCGGTCCCTGATGCCAAAAAGGTTGGGGACCGCTGCCGTAGATAACAAAAAGATTGCGCAAAATTTAGATTTAAAGCTTTCGTGACTGCAAGTCACGTTGAAGGCAAACAATAAAATAATAAAAAAATATAAAACAATAAAATTCTCACGACGTTTCGACTGCAACACAAGCAATTATCATCGGGTGTGGTTTTCACCAAAAATATAAAACGATAAAATTCTCACAACGTTTCGACTGCAACACAAGCAATCATCATCAGGTGTGAAAACCATTGTTTTATATATTTTTTATTTTACTGTTTCCCTTCTACGTGACTTTACCGAAAGAACCAAGAATAAGATTGCGCAAGTTACAGACTTCACGTGGACTGTTAATACAAGTAACTGGGCTTGCGTTGCTGTTGTGACTTGCGGAACCCGTCCAAACTGGACGTCTCTGATAAATTGTTTTTATAGCTGATCGGATTTTCCTCCTCCTCCCAGTACAAATAAAGATTCTGAGTGTGATTCTGCGTTATGCACGGGCTGAAGGAATGATGGCCGGTGGCTGTGACTAAAAGTGGCGAGCCAAGGGGTCAACAACCGTAGAGACGGAACGGTGAAATCATTGATGCTCGTGCTCGGTTGGATCGAATACATCGCAGCGACGTGCGGCGGGAAAGGGGGGGGGGTGTGGCTCCTTGAAGAGGCCTTCATCCAGCAGTGGATTGATCATGGCTGCTGGTGATTGTGAATAATACAAACGCAATTTTTTTATTATTTTTATTATTTACGTAAAGTATTTATTGAACGTTCATTTTAAAATGATGGTTAATTTCGTGTATGGCACACTCAAATTCATGCATGAATTTCGCCTTATAAATGTCAATTACAGTATTATTATTTTTAAAAATGTAAGGCGAGCTTTATTAGTTCATACCGTGAGTATGTTCATTAGCTCTGGGCCGTTTAACGCTTGGAATTTTATTAAAACATTAATATATAAGGGCCACAACCATAGATCCCTCACACCATCAAATGTAACGTCACTCCAACGGGTCACCGCAGCATCTCACAAAGCACGGTTGGATGCGCCGTCAATGACTTCTAAATTCCTTTCACCCAAAAAAGTCCTCTGGCCTTTTCCCAAAAAGTTAGACCGACCCCCACGATATAAAACCATAACCCGCTGTGATACACAACAACGGAAGCTGAACAAATCAAATAAACCACCACCCGCTGAGGTTTTTTCGTTTTTTTTTATTGCCACCTTATCTCTCCCATGTGGTTTTTGGGTCGTACCGGGCGTTGTTGTAAACATCTATAGTGAATCGACAAGAACCGACAGGTCTCCTAGAAGAAGTGGGTAGAGGCATCAGCATCCCCTTGGAGCCTCGAGGGAATAGTCCACTCGCACCCGAGAGATAAGCCCTCGGGTTTTAAACCGCTATCCTCGGTCAACACGACCCTCTGGATCCTGAGAAATAGACTGATCCCTATCTCAGCAACTCTCCCCTACGTGGGATAGTCCATCCCTCAGAGTTTCGGGGCAAGGGGGTCAGCTGGCCGGCTTGGAAGAGAGCGGGAGTCAGGAGGGTGGGTAGTCTCTCGTTTGAATCGGGGGGGGGGCACTCTCCAAAACATTTGAAAACGACATGACATCCCTAATAGCGATTTTTTTCTTCAAATGTCTCCAGATCAGGGACTCTATTAACACGGCAAGGGATGTTGACCTCCGAAAGATCCCCCTCCCCGATATGGGTATGGTTGACGGAGGAGACGGCCCACTATAAAATCACTGAGGCATACCAACTCCTACTGCCGGGCCCTACCGGGATGAGACCAAAGAATAGGGCGCTTTGGGATGGGGGGGGGGGGCGCTGGGCCGCCCGATCCCATCAGAGTCTTGGAAACTAATTTGACACAGCCCCCGGCAAGGTCTAAGTTTAAGTTTCAATTTAAGTTCCTTCATGGCGCAAAGCTCACTAACCAACGGAGGGCTACATTCCCTCAGACCATATCCCCAGACTGCCCTGGGTGGCCCCCAGGCACCACCCAAACGCAGATGCACGCCTTCTGGGACTGTCCCACCGTTAGGACATTTTATTATGAAATAACCGATCTGTACAACGTGATGTCTGGCACCGACATACTACCTAGCATTGAATCCTCCCTCCAGGGCATTAAACCCCAAGGTGTCACCAGGCACCACCACGCCCATCTCCAAGTATTTAACATTTCGGTTAGAAAGACCATCCTGAGCTCCTGGAAGAATAATTGGGCCCCCTCATTCACCCTCTGGCACAACTCCTCTATTCGCTCGAGTCTGAAACTGAGGCTGACGTTTGGCAACTCGAACCTTCAGCTCCCTCCATAGATTTTCTATGGGATTAAGGTCTAGAGACTGGCTAGGCCACTCCAGGACCTTAATGTGCTTCTTCTTGAGCCACTCCTTTGTTGCCTTGGCCGTGTGTTTTGGGTCATTGTCATGCTGGAATACCCATCCACGACCCATTTTCAATGCCCTGGCTGAGGAAAGGAGGTTCTCACGCAAGATTTGACGGTACATGGCCCCGTCCATCGTCCATTTGATGCGGTGAAGTTGCCCTGTCTCCTTAGCAGAAAAACACCCTCAAATCATGTTTCAACCTCCATGTTTGACGGTGGGGATGGTGTTCTTGGGGTCATAGGCAGCATTCCTCCTCCTCTAAACACGGCGAGTTGAGTTGATGCCAAAGAGCTCCATTTTGGTCTCATTTGACCACAACACTTTCACCCAGTTGTCCTCTGAATCATTCAGATGTTCATTGGCAAACTTCAGACGGGCATGTATATGTGCTTTCTTGAGCAGGGGGGCCTTGCGGGCGCTGCAGCATTTCAGTCCTTCACGGCGTAGTGTGTTACCAATTGTTTTCTTGGTGACTATGGTCCCAGCTGCCTTGACATCATTGATCCTCCCGTGTAGTTCTGGGCTGATTCCTCACCGTTCTCATGATCATTGCAACTCCACGAGGTGAGATCTTGCATGGAGCCCCAGGCCGAGGGAGATTGACAGTTCTTTTGTGTTTCTTCCATTTGCGAATGATCGCACCAATTTGTCACCTTCTCACCAAGCTGCTTGGCAATGGTCTTGTAGCCCATTCCAGCCTTGTGTAGGTCTACAATCTTGTCCCTGACATCCTTGGAGAGCTCTTTGGTCTTGGCCATGGTCGAGAGTTTGTAATCTGATTGATTGATTGCTTCTGTGGACAGGTGTCTTTTAGACAGGTAACAAGCTGAGATTAGGAGCACTCCCTTTAAGAGTGTGCTCCTAATCTTAGCTCGTTACCTGTATAAAATACACCTGGGAGCCAGAAATCTTTCTGATTGAGAGGCGGTCAAATGCTTATTTCCCTCATTAAAATTTATAACATTTTTGACATGCGTTCCACCAAGTCTTCTCTTTTCTGGATTTTGTTGTTGTTATTCTGTCTCTCACTGTTCAAATAAACCAACCATTAAAATTATAGACTGATCATTTCTTTGTCAGTGGGCAAACGTACAAAATCAGCAGGGGATCAAATACCTTTTTCCCTCACTGTACCTATCTTCCTGCCTCCCTCCCCCACTACCCACCTCCCTACCTACCTACCTACCCACCTACCTATCTCCCTGCCTACCTCCCTCACTACCCACCTCCCTACCTACCTACCCACCTACCTATCTTCCTGCCTACCTCCCCCACTACCCACCTCCCTACCTACCTACCCACCTACCTATCTCCCTGCCTACCTCCCTCACTACCCACCTGTCTACATATCTCCGTGCCTCCCTACACTTTCCGAGCTCTGTTTCCCCAGAAGTCACACGGCCGCCGTTCCACGTTTTCCCCGTGATGTTGACCGAGCGATTTGCGCCGATAGCGAGAGGAGGCCCGGCCACGGGAATTTCATGAGACGGGGGCCAAAGGCAACGGCCCTCGGGACGACAGTGAGCGGCGTGTGAGTGGAGAAGCGCGTGCGTCAGTGTGTGCACACACACGTGCGTGTGTGTGTGTGGGGAGCGGCGGTGCGTCGCTGCAGCGGTTAGCGCGCCGCGCCACAAACCAAGCCACCCGAGTTCGATTCCAGCTCGAGGCCGATGCCGGCGACGAATATTTGAGCCGGTCCCTGGGCCTCCCCCAAGTCGCCTCGGCCTCAAATGAGTACCCGGTGACGGTGTGTAGTAAACATCGCCACTCGGGAGACAAAGGCGGCCGGGCGTGGTGCTGGTCACCCACCCCCTCGTGTGCCGCAGTGCCGGCCTTCATCGCTGCTCGCTCAGAGGGATGATGGTCCGAGTCAAGCCACCTACCGGGGTCCGAACTCGCGACCTGCCGGTTGCAGGCGAGCTCGCACCACCAGCAGAGCCGCGGTATCTTTGGGACCTTTATGCACAGCATCAAAATGAAGCCAAAAAACAAGAATACGATTTGCCTTCATCTGGCAATAAAACTGACGCCTATCGCAAGGCGTCATCACGATCCCTTGTGAGCATTACACAGGGTTTTTAAAAAGATAGACCAGTTTTGAAATCGCTATATCTCTGCAACCACGAAGCGCTCGTGAATGAAACTCTTACACTTGAAAGAGCGGGGCATAGAGTTTTAAATGATTACCGCGAGATGCCTCTCCCAGTGCACAAACAGCCCCTAGCCTCAGTCATTCGCGAGACAACACTGCCTCAACGTTGGATAGGTCGCAGGGGATCCCAAGATCCACAGACATCACCACACCTTGCGACTTTTTCTTGTGGGGATACGTCAAAGACGGTGGTGTTTTTGTGCCACCATTAGCGACTAATCTGGATAACCTCAAAAACAGAATCACGGCAGCGGTGACTTCAGTGGAAGAAGACACTTTGAGAGGCGTTTGGGACGAATTCAACCATCGTATCGATGTTGTACGTACAGCAGGTGGAGGGCACGTAGATCATTTATAACATTGGTTAGTAAAATTTGATAACTCATTAAACCGTTTGTAACTTTTTGTGTAATTGTAACATGGGGATCTGTAACATGTTGCCATCGTGAAATATACTGCTTTGAAATTGGGTCCATATTTAAACACCCTGTATAACCGTGGGCGCGTGCGTGCGCGCGCACGTTCACGTTCGCAGGACGGCGACGCCCCCCTCGTGCTCGGCGCAGCCGGCCGCCGGAGGACCGCACGGTGGCACGAGTCGGCGGGCCCCTCTCGACGGGGGGCGGCAGCAGCGGCGTCAAGACGGCGGATCCCACGGCCCGTGCGCGCCGCGCGACGGCATCGTGTTCCTGAAGACGCACAAGACGGCGAGCAGCACCGTCCTCAACATCCTCTTCCGCCTGGGCGAGAAGCGCCACCTGCGCTTCGCCTTCCCCAACGGCAAGAACGACTTCGACTATCCGTCGCCGTTCTCCCGCTACCGCGTGGCGGGCTACTCGCCGGGCCGCTGCTACGACGTCGTCTGCAGCCACATGCGCTTCAGCCGCGCCGAGCTGGAGCCCCTGCTGCCGCCGGGCGCCGCCTTCTTCACCATCATGCGCGACCCGGCGCGCGTCTTCGAGTCGTCGTTCCACTACTACCGCGCCGTGGTGCCCAGCTCGTGGAGGGTCCGGGGCGACGACCCCATGCGGGAGTTCCTGCGCGATCCCCGCGGCTACTACGACCCGGCGAGCGTCAACTCGCACTACCTCAAGAACCTGCAGGCCTTCGACATGGGCTTCGACAACAACGCGGTGCTGTCGCGGGACGACGGCGGTGACAGCGGCAGCGATGGCGATCGGCAGGAGGAGGAGGAGGAGGAGGACATTGCCCGGCGCATGATCCGGGAGGCGGAGGACACCTTCTCGCTCGTCATGATCTCGGAGCACTTTGACGAGTCACTCGTTCTGCTCAAGGAGCTGCTGTGCCTGGACGAAGAGGACATCACCTACTTCAGGCTCAACGCGCGCTCCACGTCCATGGCGAGCCGCGGAGGCCAAGGAGGAGGAGGTGGTGGTGCTGCTGGTGGTGGAGGCGGTGCCGGCGGAGGTGCTTCTCGCGGAACCGGGGGGAGCGGCGCCGGACGCACTCCTGGCGCTGGAGGAACTCGCGCCGGCGAAGGCGACGGGGAACGTGGGACCGAAGCGGATACCGGAGGCGTGATCGGAGGCGACGATGGGAGAAGCGACGGCCTTGGCCGCAGCACCGGAGGAAATGACGGCGCTGACGAAGTCGCTGGAGCCTCGGCGGCGGCGGCGGACGCGCCGCGCATGGACCCGGACACGTACCGCCGCGCTCGCCGCTGGAACCACCTCGACTCGCTCCTCTACGAGCACTTCAACCGGAGCCTGTGGCGCGAGGTGGCGCGCTTCGGCGAGGGGCGAATGCGCGCCGCCGTGGCGTCGCTGCGCCGACGCAACGCCGCGCTTGCGCTCGAGTGCACCGAGGAAGGGGGCGCCGTCGACGCGTCGGCGGTGCGCGACCCGGCCCTCAGGCCGTGGAGGCCGATTGGCTCGCAGCCCATCATGGGCTACAACCTGAGGCGCGGCATCCCGCGGGGCGCGACGCGGCGGGCGTGCCGTCGCATGCTCACGCCCGAGCTGCAGTACATGAGCGAGCTGGGAGCCAACCTGTGGATCACCAAGCTGTGGGTGCGGCTCACGCAGCTGCTGCAGTGGTGACGGGGACGCGCACGCGGGCGGTGGTGCGGCGGTGAGCGCTACGCTGCGCTACGAACCTGGCCACCCGGGTTCCATTGTCGCTCACGGCCAACACCCAGTGACGATTATCTGGTTCTGGGCCTCCCCTAGGTCGAATCAGCCTCAAATGAGTACCCGGTGCGATGTGTAAACATCGCCACTGCGGAGACAAAGGCGGTCGGGCGTGGTGTTGGCCACCCACCTCCTCGTGTGCCGTGCCGGCCTTCATAGGTGCTCACGAACAGCACTTGCCCCCACAGTATGTTAAGGCTATACGGGGGATCTTGGTCTTTGTGTGTGCGCATTGGGAGCGGTAGCGCAACGGATAGGGCGCTGCGCTATGAACCCCGTGATACGAGTTCGATTCCCACTCATGGTCAACATCAGTGACGTTTAATCTAAATCGGTTCTGGGCCTCCCCTAGGTCGACTCAGCCTCAAATCAATACCTCGTGCTTTGTGTAAACATCGCCACTGGGCAGACAAAGGCGGCCGGGCGTGGTGCTGGCCACTCACCCCCTCATGTGTCGTGCCGGCCTTCATCGGTGCTCGCTAACAGCACTTGCCCCTACAGTCTGTTGAGGCTGCACGGGGAATCTTTGCCTTTGTTTGTGTGCGTGCGTGTGTGTGCATGCGCGTGAGCGTAGCAATTTGCCGCACCTCTCCGATCTGCACGGTTGGCTATGTGCCGTGTGAAAGAAGTTCAACGTACGTACGAGGAGAAGCGGAGTCGGTTCGTAAGGGTCGCGCGCATCACCTCGGTTGTGTCGTCGGAGCAAAGCTGCCCAAGGTCTGACCGCCCCGAGGCAAAGGAGGATCAAGAAACTTGACAATGGGGCGGTCCCCGAAATTTCAGGCCCACGTCAGAGAATGGTCCCTGTAAGCAGACATGACAGAACTAGAGTAGACTCTCGATTTATCCGCATGCGGTTTATTCGATTTGCGGATTAACCGAGCACCTGAGACTTTAACGTAAATTGATAACTCGTAGATTTTCCCTTAAGCCCAAATTCATAATCTAAAAACAGTTGGAAATGTGTATTACAAGTCACGTCCTTAAATCGAACAAATATTTGGTCCGGTCAATCCGAAATCCACGTGATCGCCTGTACAGTACAGTAGTTGCATATATTTACAACAGTGGGCATAGTCTGATTGATTTTGATTGGCGTGGCTCTGTCATCATCCACTTAGTGAGCCTTCTGTGTAGGCAAATGTGTTTTTTGGCGTAGAGATCCGCGAAAATTTGTTTTTATTATCCGCGGCCGTCCTCCCCGTCGTCAGCACGGATAATCGAGAGTCTATTGTACTTCTAAGACCACTTCATGGTGAGGTACGGTCAAATAACTCCCAATGGCTAACGCAGCCCTCATCCAGTGTTGGATTGAGCAATGTTTAATATGTTTTACAATTTGTGGTAAAATGTGGATAGTTCTATTAGCACGGTTGGCTACATATGGTGCGAAAGAGGTGCGACATACATACATACGTCTGGCCATCATGGCAGGGTAGGCCAGACAATCAGGGGCTTTGTAGATACCAATGATGTATGATCATATGAAGCAAGTTATATTGCTGATGACTATGTAGAAATTAGGCACCTAACAAGGCATTGACTCACCGATTAGTACGGTTGGCTACATACAGTGGCAAAGAAGTTCAAAATACATAGTCTAATATTGATTATTACACTCATTATATGTGCATCGCATTGTTCATGTAGGACCCACTTACTTGCAATTAATGCAACTTACAATCAAACGCTATGCTCGTGATACATTTAGGCTAATGCAGTGGATAAAAATGAGTTCGTATTGCAGAGACTCCTCTATTTACGAACATTCGACTTACGAACTTTCAGAGATACAAACAAACCTGTCCGTATGCCCAGTTTCTTGTTCGGACCGAGAGTCATAAGTTCAACTGCCACGCAATAGATGGCGGTGGTGGCATCTACATCTACAGAACGTGAAGAACCAGTGGCATCTGCATCTACAGGAGATTATTCAACTTTTAAAGCCATTCCCCGTGTTTAGTGTAGACGCCGTATAACATGTTTGGACTCGACAGGAGTAAAGTTGGACTTACGAACAAATCGACTTACGACGAACAGACCTCTGTAACCTAACTCGTTCGTAAGTAGAGGAGTCCGTGTATTATTTATGACCTTTTCCCCCAGGCAATGGTAATTTTAAAATATCCGTTTGTCGGATGTCACGCCGAGCGAATGAACGTTCGCCGTCTCGCCATCCACCCTATGACACGACAATGACGACTCTCCCCATCGTCGTTGACCGGTGCGTTGATGGCTGAGCAGCCAACCTGTCCTTCGCAGCGGCCAGAATCCCGTCACTACTCGGGACTTCATAGACTTCTCAGGGTGCCACAGTGGCGAGATGTTAACTACCTCGCCTGGTATACAGGAGGTCGTGGGTTCAATCCCGTACCTGACGCCTGCTGTATATTTGGAGTTTGTATGTCTCTGTCTCTTCCCGTGGTCGCGTGGATTTTTCTCCGGGTCCTCCGGTTGTTCCTCCCACATTTAGAATCAACGTCACGCATTTAAGACTATTTGGCTGCGATTAATTTCCACGCGATGAAAAAGCCACTTCGTTGAGCTTGATATCAATTGTGAAGGCCAGGTCGCTTCTAAAAAAACAGCTACATAGCTGTGGGGCCTTACCCGGTAAAATAAAAAAAATAGCTTTTTGTAGTACTCTTTGGTTCTTGCGGTAAAGTCACGTAGGTAAAAAAATAAAATAAAGTTAATCAAATCACGTTTCGGAAGCAACACAAGCCTCCGTCATCAGGTGGGATAGTCACAGCAAGAAGTAATTTGTTGTAGTGGACAAGAGCTGCTCGTAACGAGGATATTATATAAGGCAAGAGGGGGGGGGGGGGGAAGAGCCAGGGGGGAGAGAAGTAGAGGGCGGGGAGGGGGAGTAGGGGAGGGGGGGTTGAGTGAGCATCAGCCACCTGGTACACAACACGGCTGGTGCGAACAATGCCGGAGCTGGGAGAGATGCCGAGGCCGGGGTACGGGGTGTGACACAATGTCGGAGTGGTGCACCGAGCGGGTCTGGGGGGGGTGGTGGAGCATAGTGTTGAAGAGAGCTTTTTGTAGTTGTATAGTTTTTGTAAATTTAGATGACGATGACTCATGTCGCCTGTGCCTGGCACCAAGGCTATCCTCTGCTATCTGCACTCCTTTACGTACGCCGTCTCAACGATGGACGGTCCTGGTTTTCTGCTCCCAGTTCGCCGTCGGGAGGGCTAAAAGTCTGAAAGTTTGACGTGCAGCTTGTTTAACACGTAGGCTTTTGCGACCAATATCCATAATGAAGGGGGTTTTTTTTGTTAGATCGCGCAGATATTACATTAGGACCGAAACAGGAAAACTTCTTCACAGTTCTGGCAAAACCACCTGATGAAGCTGGTTGTAATCACCAGCGAAACGCCGTAGTCAAAGTGTAAATGTTGTTTCAGTTTAATGTCAGTTTCATTTATTTGGTATAGCCCTGTGAGCCATTCGGCTCTTGAATCGGGTGCAACCGCAACAAACAAAAAACAAAAACATGAACAAGAAAACATCTTAAAGTGACTATGTGACTGTGCAAACAGAAAATCCAGGAAAAAACAGCAAATAATTCCTGAAAAAGCACCACACACCAACGCTGTGTGCAAAAATCCCAGTGGGATGCAAGTCAGACATAAAGAACAACCACAAGACAACTTAGATTAAGGCCATCAGTCTAACTCCGTACTACAACAAACATGGCCAAACAAAAAAAACGTTTTCGAAATCACCAACATACCGGTGTGCTGAAGTAGTAACTAATTCATATTCTTTGAAGGGACACAATAAAACAATAAAATATATAACAATATATTTTATTATTTTATTGTTTCCCTTCAACGTGACTTTACCGAAAGAGCTAAGAATATGGATTACTGCAGTCACGAAAGCTTTAAATCAAAATAGTAACTAATTGACACGTTTTGTTTATGTGAAAAAAACTTACTTGTCTGTGTCGGGTGGTGGCGGGTTACCGACACATTTATATTTAAGCGATATAACCCAAAACAACCTTTATCATGCGCAGCCTGTCCTTGCGAAAATATTTACTCTAGCAAGGCAGGCGAGAAAAGTGCTGCCCCCTAGTGTGCAGATCAGAACTGTCTTAGAAGGGATTTCAGACGAAGTTCTGTGATACCAATTCTACGGACCGTTTTCTAGCAACACGAAGAGTCGGCACTGCTCTGCAGGAGTTCTAAATTGATTTTTGGTCTCGTGAAACTACGATCGACAGCAAAATCGGGATACAATTGGGGAAGGAACAAAACCATTCCAGTATCTTTATTATGCACGCCAGTGGCTCAGAGAAGAGGTATCTTTGAGACAGTTAAACACGTAGGCTTTCGTGACCAATATTATCCATAATAAAAGTTGTTTTGGGGCTATATCGCACAAATATGAATATGTCGTTAAACCCGCCACCAAATGTGTACTCTCCAACACACCGGTGTGCTGTACTCGTAACTAATTGGCATGTTTTGTTTACGTGACAACCCTTCCTACTTTGCTGTGTCGGGCGATGGCGGGATTAACAACAGATTTATGTTAACGCGATCTAACCCAAACAAAAACGTCATGAAAGATTGTTGAGACAGTACACCAAGTAGATTGATCACGCGTATTTGTGCATCGTTCATCTTCTCACGCATGGTTTGCATTTCTCGGTAAAGTCACGTCGGTAAAAATGAAATAAAATTTAATAAAATAAAACAAAAATGAAAACAACTAAATTTGTGATTTAATTGAGTTCTTTTCATTTTCGTTTTCATTATTTTTTTATTTCATTTTCTTTATTTTTTTCACCTACGTGACTTTACCGAAAGAACCAAAGAGTATGGGTCCTTGCAGTCACGAAAACTTCAAATCTAGAATGGTTTGCATTTATCTCCTGTTTCATCCCCGGTTGAAGGTGACTCGAGTCGAAATCGACATTCCCGGCAAATTCATCGTGAAAACAGTCTGTGGTTAAAAAAGCTACAAGCGTGAAGCCAGC